TTGAGTTTTGAAAGTACATAATACTACAATTTAGTGTTATTCATTTTTACTCGTAAGTCAAAGGTCTTATATTTGAATCCCAAAAATAACGAGTTGACAATCAATTTATTCTTCGCCATGTTTGTGTTTTTATAAAAAAATTTAAGTAGAAGATTACAACAGTTAAACTGGTGTGTCGGTTATGTGAGAAGTGAAAATTAAAGCCGCTTGGAATATCATCATTTATGAAAAAGAATTACAAACATATATCAAATGAAAAATTAATTTCCTTCTTATTTTTTTAATAATATGAAAATTTGGATTATATGGTTCCTTATGAAAATCTTTCTTATTTAAATTCCATACCTATAAAGATTAAACTACACGCTACCTCTTAAGATATGCATCGGTGTGGATGTTCCAACATTCGTTACACCGTGTTTCGAGGAAGATTAAATTTTTGCAGGCCTTGAACATTTGTTGTGAAATATGAATCCCATAATGTGTTTCTCTTCATTTTCTTAGATGGTTGAAAGTCAATATATATAGACACACACGCAAAAACAGAGAAACATCATAAATTAACAATGGAGAGAAAAGATTTTAACAGAAATTTCCCATATAATGTAAATATCCACGTATTAACTTAATTACTATAACAAAGATCCTAGTAAAAAACTTGTTCTCATTTTATAGGAATATGTGCCTGTGATACAAGGGGAGAAATCCCCCAAAGTTTTATTCTTAACTGCGTTACACGCGGCCTAAGGACCATATTCTTCTCAGCTCATCCGACCACTCGGCATGGAGCTGGAAATATAGAAAAAAAGATTTAAAATTAAACAAATAAAATACTTATGCTTAGGTTACTAATTTCTTGGTAATTCTTTGGCCTAACCCTAACGCCCTCCCCTCCCAATGCTATAAATATCCAACATTATTTCATGGAAAAGCCACAACTTGACCTCCTCTTATACCTTTAATTTGTGTACAAGATTAATTAAGCTAATTAGCATTCATGTCTTCTAGTACGAAATTCGATACAGCAACAATCATTTATCTTGGCACACGACATGGTTTGTCGTCCCAATCATCTTCTCAGAGTGACGGAGGCTCGTATCCGCTAAATGCTTAAAATACTTTACGAAGGGACAAGAAGAAATCTGGAAAAAAAAAGGTGAAGAATTATAGATGCAGACTGCTCCAGTAGGGTTATGAAGAAGTTTACAGAATTAAGAGAGAGAGATTGCGATTGTTAAAGAAAAAATGATTCTCATTAACTTTATCTGCAGGATACAAGGGATATATATGTGTCCATAAAATATCTAATCAAATGCTGAGTCATCATCAATACTTTAGCTTAACAGCTAAGCTAAGTGCTAATCTAGTGCCTTATGCTCATTATAGTCTGGTGGTCCTTCACTATCCTTAATACACCCCCTCAAGCTGAAGGAAGGGGATCGAACTGAGAGCTTGAAGCGAAGTTGTTCAAATCTGTCTGCAGGTAAGGACTTAGTGAATATATCTGCAATTTGAAGCAACGAAGCCACATGATGAACATGAACATGGCCCAGAAGAACTTTTTCTCTAATGTAGTGATAATCAATCTCTACATGTTTTGTTCGGGCATGAAAAACCGGGTTGAAGGCTAGAGCAATGGCACTTTTGTTGTCACAGAAAATACGTGGAGTTTGAAGAAGAGGAAAGGAGATATCTTGCAGTATTTTGCAAACCCAGCTAAGCTCGGCAGCAGTATGAGCCAGTGAGCGATACTCTGCCTCAGTAGATGACCGAGCTACTGTGCTTTGTTTCTTGGCACTCCAAGAGATGAGATTAGGACCCAAAAACACACAATATCCACTAGTGGAACGTCTGTCCACAGGGCATCCTGCCCAATCAGCATCCGTCCATGCTGTGAGAACTTGCTTGCCTTTAGTAAACCATAAACCTGAGTCAATAGTACCTTTCAAGTAGCGAAGAATCCTTTTAACAGCCTGCAAGTGAATCGTGCGAGGACTATGCATGTATTGGCATACTTGATTTACTGCAAAGGCCAAATCAAGTCGTGTCCATGTAAGATATTGGAGAGCACCAACAGTGGATCGATAAGAAGAAGGATCAGGGAGAATGGTACCAGAGTGATCCAATTTGGTGGAACTAACAGGAGTAGTACAGGGTTTGACCCCAAGCATATCAGTTTTCTTGAGTAAATCCAGAGCATATTTGGATTGATTGAGAAGTAAACCTTTGGCAGACCTGTGAACTTCAATGCCGAGAAAATAGTGGATATCACCCAAGTCTTTGACGGGAAATAGAGATTGCAGTTTGGAGATAATGGACTGACATACTGGAGTAGAACTCCCAGTGATGATAATGTCATCAACATAGACCAGTATGAAAGTGATGTGAGAATCTTTCTGAAAAAAAAGACTAGGATCAGAGGGTGATGATGAGAAACCCAAGGAGATAAGGACACTGTAAAGAGCTTCATACCAAGCTCTGGGAGCTTGTTTAAGGCCATAGAGAGACCGTTTGAGTTTACAAACATGTTGAGGTTTAGACTGATCCACAAAACCAGGAGGTTGAACCATGTATACATCCTCTTTAAGAGAGCGATGCAGGAAAGCATTGCTCACATCCAACTGATGCACAAACCAATCATGAGTTACAGCAATAGACAAGAGAATTCGGATGGTGGTTGGTTTAGCTACGGGGCTAAATGTCTCAGAAAAATCAAGGCTTTCTTGTTGATGGAACCCCTTAGCAACCAACCGAGCCTTATACCTCTTAATGGAGCCATCAGCTTTGTGTTTGACTTTGAACACCCATTTGCAACCAACTAGATTGTAACTTGGATGAGAAGGTACTAACTCCCAAGTACCAGTGGTTTGAAGAGCTGCAAACTCATCTGCCATTGCTTGGACCCAATGAGGATTCTTAGAAGCTTGATGATAAGTGGTAGGTGGAGAAGGAATAGTGGTGAGGTGGTCAACAGATGGTGGAAGAGGGTGTGTAGTGGCTATAAAGACTTTGGGCTTGGTGATGCCAGATTTGGCTCTGGTAATCATGGGATGGTGATTAACAGGAATAGAAGAAGGAGGGTGGGCTATTGGTGAAGAAAAAGGAGGAGGTTGGGTTGCAGGTGATGGTACCGAGATAGGTGAAAGGGCAGGGATGGGTGGAGGAGGAGAGGGAGGAGTGGGAAGAGGGATAGTGAGAGAAATAGGGTTGGGAAATGTAGGAGGAATAGGGGGAGAGGACTGAAGGAAGGGGGAAACCTGGGATTGTTTGAAAGGAAAAGAGGTTTCATCAAACACCACATGTCTCGAAATATAAAGCTTATTGGTGACAGGATCGAGACATCGATACCCACTGTGGTTTAGGCTATATCCCAAGAAAACACAAAGCTTACTCTTTGGGGCCAATTTACTGGAAGAATAGGGTTGTAGCCACGGATAACATGCACAGCCAAATATCTTCAAGGTGTGATATTTTGGAGAAGCTTTGAATAACAATTCCCAAGGACTAACAGAAGAAGTCTGAGGGGGCAGCCGATTGATCAAATAAACAGCAGTCTGAAATGCTTCAATCCAGTACTGAGATGGTAAACCACTCTGAGATAGCAATGTTCTACCCATTTCAACGACATGCCTATGTTTCCATTCTGCACATCCATTCTGCTCAGGAGTGTGGGGACAACTTAATTGATGAGTGATGCCATTAGCATTGAAGAAATTTTGTAAAGTAGCACTTAAGAACTCACCCCCTGAATCGGACCTTATACATTGAATCTTACTAGCAAAAAGTGTTTGAACTTTCATAACAAAAGTCTGAAGAACAGAACACACATCAGATTTGTAATGCAGTGGATATAACCAGCTGTACTTAGTAAAATCATCCACTAGAATTAGGTAATATCGATATCCAGTACAAGAAGGGGTGGGAGAAGGACCCCATACATCAGTGTAGACAAGATGAAATGGCCGAGTGGAAGTACAAGGCAAAGTAGAAAATGACAATTTAGAGGCCTTCCCCATTTGACAATCTGAGCAAAACGACTTCTGAGATACTGGACCAACAACAGACAATTGACCTTTATTTACTACTTTATGTAGAGCTAAACTAGAGGGGTGTCTAAGTCTTCTGTGCCATGTAGTGATGTCAGCTTTAGCGATCATTAAGGCATGAGGCGAAATGGCAATACCAGAAATACCATTGGAAGCATTCCAGTAGAAAGGGTACAAACCACCTTCACTGGGGCCCTGGAAAAGCATCCTCCCAGTGCTTAGATCCTTGATGTAGAAACCAAATGGATCAAAGGTTAGGGAACACCAATTGTCATACACAAATTTATATACGTACAGGAGATTATGAGAGGCCTGCGGTACTAAGAGCACATCATGAAGTTGAAACACAGCATTAGAAGTGTTAATTAAAGCGTGGCCAGTATGAGAAATACACAGACCTTTTCCATCACCAACAAAAAGCTGGTCAGGGCCATTGTAGGGTATAGCAGAATTGAGAGACGCTGGATCAGGAGTGACATGATGTGTAGCGCCACTATCAGTAATCCAATAACTTGGAGTAGAAGAACCAGTCATAGCAGTCAAACCCATAGGAGGAGGATGTTGAGAAGCAAACTGAGAGAGATGACTACAATAGAGAGCAGAATGGCCATATTGATTGCATAGTTGACATGGCATGGAACGACCAGAGAGAACTGAAGAATGTCCCGACTGAAAATTGCCAGAATTTTGGCCAGTATTTCCAGAAAATGAGGAACGAGAGGGAGCAGAACCAAGAATACCTCCAGAGTTGTTGTTTGGGCGATTTGGACCAGGAGTACGATGCTGAGGAAAATGATTACGATTCTGATAGTAATTACGATTCTGATTCTGGTATCTGCCTTTAGAACCTCCCCGAAATGAGGTTAGATTCGAGGATCCCTGTTGAGCAGCATAAGCATGAAATGGTGCAACAGTAGAGGAAGAAGATGCACGAGTTTTGCGTTTCTGAAGAGAGATCTCCTTGCTGAGTAAGAGGCCATGGAGTTCATCACCATTCACAGACTCAATTCTTGTTTCAATCGAATCAACAAACGATTCATACTCATCAGGAAGACCAGCAAGAATATAAGCAACCATATCAGAATCAGAAATCGGTTCTCCAGCAGCAGCAAGTTTATCAGAGACATCCTGAATAGAGTTCAGATAATCAGTCATGGAAGCATCACCTTTCTGAATGGTCTGGATCTTAGAGCGAAGATTGTGAACATGAGTGCGCGACGCTCCGGCGAAACGGCGTTCAAGAGACTGCCACAACGAGCGAGCATCGTCCATTCCAATAGTCAGGGGAAGAAGATCTTCAGCAAGGGTGGAGTTGATCCAGATCGTTAAGATCTGATCACGTTCACACCACAATTCATGTGCAGGATTGAGAATTTGAGATCCAGATGAATCACGAACAAACGGAGGAGGGCAAGGATCATCCCCAGTGATAAGGCCAAAAAGCTTGAACTGCTTAAGAACGGGAAGAAATAAGCTGCGCCAGGTGATGTAGTTCTGACGATTGAGTTTCGTCGGAACCATTCCAGCAATATTTTGGACAGTAATTGTCGCAATCGATGGAGGTACAGTGTTTGAGATCTCACCAAGAGGATGAGGACCAGAAGATGTAGCAGGAGAAGTGGAATCAGAGGAATTAAGAGTGGCCGCCATAGAAAGACAGACAAATTGCGCAGATGAAAGGAGGAAAAATTAGGTAAGACGTGTTTGGGAGACAAGAAAATGCAAGAATTTCAAGAAAGTGGAAGCGGAGGATCGACGTCGGTGGACTCCGGCGAAGATACCATGAAGAAGTTTACAGAATTAAGAGAGAGAGAGATTGCGATTGTTAAAGAAAAAATGATTCTCATTAACTTTATCTGCAGGATACAAGGGATATATATGTGTCCATAAAATATCTAATCAAATGCTGAGTCATCATCAATACTTTAGCTTAACATCTAAGCTAAGTGCTAATCTAGTGCCTTATGCTCATTATAGTCTAGTGGTCCTTCGCTATCCTTAATAGGTTATACATCTAATAGAGATGAGACCCACATGTATTGGTGGGCCATACCTCTATTATAGAGATGATACGAATGATGGTACAAATATGTGGTGAATGTAACGTTAGAGTTATGCAGTTGTACATAAATAAGCATAGTTGCATATTTATATTTACAAAATTGAAAGATCTTTGTACCAAATAATTGATACAATATTTCCTTTCAAGAATAGAACATGAACAATATAATTTCTTAAGTTTAGATACAGTTATTTTATTGTAAAAATGGGTGGGTGCTACGAAGAACAAATCCCACTAGGATGTAACAAAGAAATGCATTAATATATTATTTGATTTTGTTCTACAGTTGACGTTGCTTAGAGCACTTTCAATCATGGTTTTTTTTTTTTTTTTTTTTTTTTGGTAGAGAGACATTGTTAATTAGTAGGGTAAATAATTAGTGTTAGGAGTGAGAAAATTGGCGAGGATTGAATCCACACCAAAAATGGGAATAGCATGATTGTTTTTCACTATTTTTCTTAATTAGTGGTTGTGTTGGTAGTTTTGTGTGTAGAATCTCTCATGTGCGATGGGTTATCTAGTTGTTAGAATTGAATTTTTTTTGGCTTTAGAGTGTTGGTTTGCATCCTACATCATCTGTTTGTCATGCCCGCATATCCGTCAATATGGTGGCTACTAGATTGACCAACATGACCTTATTTCATTTTAAGCTATAAACTCAAATTGAATATGAAGTTAGACATACGTTTTAAGAAAAATTACCAACCCCAACCAATTATTTTGGATAGGCTACAAATTTTATTGCAACGTGGGGCTATTACTAAATAAACTATATGGAAGGTTACCATCTTGTCCTCAAACTAATTTTTCAAAGAATCATATAAAGGAGTTTAGGATTGAATTTGAGGCTTTAGGATTTTAGAAGGTCTGTCAAGATTTTTTTTCATTTTGGATGAATTACTATATCTTAAATATAATCAATTAAGAACATCTTCAATGAGCTCTTTAAATAAGATTCGAATTAAAATTCAGGGAACATTAGAAATTTTTTATTTCCAATCGCACTCCCTACCATACTCTTAAGATAGCCAAATTGTTAGGAACTCCTAAATCTAAGGAGTGAGAAAGGAGAATTGTTCTCCCCTTTTCGAGGAATGTGTGCGTGTTAATTAATCACAATATTAAGTGATAACATTTCTCACTTAATATTAAGTGATAACATTTCTCACTTAATATATTAACTTAGTATAACAATGTCGGCCTAAAATCAAAGAATTGTTCTCCCCTTTTCGAGGAATGTGTGCGTGTTAATTAATCACAAAGACAGTGCTCCAAGCAATCACGTATGCATGCGACCAACCGTCAAAGATTTGCTTTCCTTTTCGAGGAATGTGTGTGTATTAAATACGAAACCTATAGGCATAAATATCCAACATTGAATGCAAAAGCCATAACTTGATCTCATCCTTCTTATACCTTCTTATGTGTAAAAGTTTAATTAAGTTGATCATTAATAACTATGTCTTTTAGTAAGCAATTCGATGCACCAGCGGTCCTTCATCCTGGCACGAGACGCGGTTCATCGTCGCATTCTCAAAATGATGGAGGCCTGAATCCGCCAAATGTTCAGAGTACTCTAGGTCATTCTGGCACGAGACGCGGTTCGTCATCCCATTCTCAAAATGATGGAGGCCTGAATCTGCCAAATGTTCAAAGTACAATAGGAAGGGACAAGAAGAAATCTGAGAAAAACTAGCGAAAAATCATATATACATAGCTGCTGTTGTGGGTTGTCCATAATACATTACTAAGTAAATGAGCACAGTTGCATATATATATATATATATATATATATATATATATTTACAAGGGAGCTGTTATTGGCACTTTCAAAATCTCACTCCATACTCCTTCTATATTTCTGATTTATTTATTTTAATTCTTTTAATGTGATTTCCGATTTTACCCCTATATTACTTTTAATGTCTACAATCTTGGAAACATCATTAAGTATGATGACATAAATATGGGAAAATATTTATAGGGAGTTGTAAATACCTTTTGTGCTCTAGAAGCAAGTAATATTTTACTCTCGAGTCTAGCTCCATACAGAATCAGTGGTTGTTTTATCAAGTCAGCCATTTCTGCGACCTTAGACTTTTTTCCTCTTAGTCTTGGCAAAATTCTTTATTTTTTTTAGGTAATTCGTGGATGAAAGCCTCATTAATCTTTCATTTGGAATTGATTTTGCTGACGAAAAAAATTGGAGGGATTTCTGGTAGATTTGTTTTCTTTCCAGATTTCCTATGAAACAAATAGCATAGCAAATGTTACAAATAGCATCTTTCTTACTTCTTTTCAACAAAATAAAATTGTTGTTAAAGGCAACAAGTAATCCTTCTAAAATACAACATAATAGTTGTGGTTATCACAGTTCATATCTTGAATATCATAACGAGAAATAATCTCATGTTCTTTTTCAAGAATTTTAACCATGTCAATGTAAGGTTAAATAATTCTTAACATAGCATCCAAACATATATATCAGCAATTGCCTCCACATCTCAAACCAAGCCTGAAGCCTGTTTCCATTTCCTTGATAATCAAACTCTAATCTTCAATTGCCTCCACATCTCAATCAAGCACAAAAATATGTATCAGCAAAGTGCAAAACCTGTATATCATAATAAAATATACCAAAACAATTAGAAAAGATATATAAATACGTCCTATATATTCAAACTCCCATTAAAATACTAATGATTAAAGGTGTAGTCTATTTGCAGACTTTAGTTGGTCCACATACAAGAGAAATTTCAATTGAGGGAACACAAATTAATTTCAAGTCCCAACCAAGATGAACATGATTTAAAGTAATGCAGCTCTATCATTGAGTTCGCAGGTCCGACGGTTGTGGCCAACAATGTTACAAATCCTACATTTTCGAGAGTTCTCAACTATCTCAAACGACGAAGGCTCACGCTGTTATTAATTTTACCTGTCGTCACTTTCTCCAACCTATAGGAGAAAGGCCTCAAATTGGTGGAGAAGTTTTTTTTTTTTTTTTTTTTTTTTTTCGACCTATTGATCTTATTTGCTGTAGATACCTTCTGTTAAACACAAAATGTACATATTGGTGTGTATATAAAAAATTAATAAAAAATTATTATACTTATCATAAACTTCGGGTCCTGAAAATGGCCGAACAACCATTTGCACTCCTCTAAGCACTCCACTAACTCTTGAGGGAAGCCTTCTTTAAGAGCGGTCTCCACGTCTGAAATAGTCTCAAACTGTTTGTCCACTACTTAGTATTTTGCAAATTTCTTCTAGCTCAAATATCCATTTGTTGATCTATTTCTTGGATTAAAAGCTAGATTTCTAGGGCTTTCCAATCAAGATTCTAAAAGACACTAGGCGCTGCTTAGGCACCGGGCTGTGGCCTAGCGCCTAGGAGGGATAGACGGAGGCCTAAGAAAATTTAAGTAAATTTATAATATATTATGTAAATAAGTGCCTATTTATACTTAAAAAAAAACACATAATTGTATTGTGCTACATAAATTACAAAATAAAATGAAAGATTATAAATTATTGCAACATATTGAAAACATGAGGTATAAGCATATAATGAGTGTTCATCCAAGTATTTAACAAGTCGTTTACATTTTATTGACAAAATAAAAGAAAAATGAAAGTTATTGATTTTCTGTCTAAGTGAAAGTAGCGACCTAGGCGGGCGCCTAAGTGGGCGCTTAAGTGGGTTAGGCGGACGCCTAAGCGGGTGTAGCCACACTTTCTTAATATTTAAACATCTAGGAATTGATTGGGGCATTACCAGCCGCCTAGCGCGAGGATTTTTGGTACAGTGTTTCCAACGATATATGATTTGGCTCGTAAAAATTCAAACAAGTTAGTCCAAAATAGTATTGAAACAAGGATGCAGAAGCTGAAATAGGACAGTGACGAAGATTTCCTAGACAAATTTATGACTCCTAAACAAAATTCAAAATAAAATAAAATAAATTAAAATAATTAGATATGAAGTAGGATATCATGTTGGGAAACTCGAGTAGGGTCTCCGGCAACAATG